ATGCTAATCTTCTCTGTATCGTTCCAATTTTAACGGATGTCCCGAAGGACAGCATCAGTCCGGTTCCTATTCCACTGGCAAGTCAAAATTGACATCATGAACAAATCCATGCTTCCGTCCGTCTGGCCAAAGGACCCTTGAACATCATTGATTGCTCCAGCAGTGTGGAGGATTGACTGTTAGCTTCCCTTTTTTTTTCCTTTTTTATTTTTATTTTTATTTTTTTCCTTACAAAACAATGTTGGGAAAATTTGCATGAAAGTGCACTTTTATTTTGCCGTTGTATAGGGCCCGGCTTTTCCAACCTTTTTTTTTTTTTTTTTTTTTTTTTTTCCAAGTATTAATATGGTGTCCACTCCATGAATTGGTGGCAAGTTTGGTTAAAATGGCAAGTACTTCGCGAATCGTATCATCAGCATGCAACGGAAAGTAAACTCACCTCTCTTCTCCTCCTCTTCTTCTTATTCTTCCTCTTCTCCTTCTTCTTTGTCTCCTTGTCCTTCTTGCTCTTCGTGCCGGCCATCATCTTCTTCGTCTTTGACTTGGTCTTCTTATGCAGCTTCTCGACCTTCTTTTCTGCGTTGATTTTCTCATTTCCTTCCATTACCTTTTCCTGTACCATGGCCTGTGCTGCGGCCGCGTTGGCATTTGTCGCGATCGCAGCTGACCCGAGCGTCCCTCCATCAAGGCCTTGCAGTTGTGCAACACCAACCTGAGCCATCACTCCAGCGTCGGCAGCCAAGCTCCCGGGCACCATCCCATGTGCTCCGAACTGACCCAAGTGCTCCACATTGAAACCAAGCAGTCCCATCTGCGCGATATTACCACTACTTTCTACAGCTTGACAGGTGCTTGTAGGCGTTCCCGCGAGAACGCCACCTAGACCTAAGACGCTTGCAAAACTTGCCGCCGGAAATCGCGCTTGAGAAGTCGTCAGTGCACCACTGCATGCCGGCATCATTCCGGCTGGTAAACTATTGCCGCACATGGGCATCACTGCTGCAGCATTCATCTGCGCAATAGGTACTCGGAACTGATGCGGCAGTTGTCCTTGCTGTTGCTGCTGCTGCTGTTGCTGCTGTTGCTGCTGCTGCTGCTGCTGCTGCTGCTGGTGGTGGTGTATCATCTGTGAAACTGCTGCCGTGTTAGCAGCATGCAGGTATTGTCCAGCAGAAGAGGGCATACAAAGTGCTGCAGCTGCGGCTGCTGCCGCTGCAGCGGCGGCGGCTTGCTGTTGTTGGTGCTGAAACTGGATTTGATAGTGGATAAGCTGCTGCTGCTGCTGCTGTTGATGTTGTTGGATCTGTTGTTGCAACTGGTGCTGCTGCTGCTGCTGCTTTAAATGAAGATGGAAATGCTGCTGCAATCGAAGCATGTTTTGCTGTTGAAGATGTGTCGGCTGAGTTTGCGGTTGTTGCGGATGATGGAGACTGTTCGAGCCGAACAATCCGACGTTCCATCCCTTGATTGCGCCACTCAGTACGACGCCAGCTGTACTGGTCGTTGCACTGACAGAAGCAGTGGCCAACGGAGAGACTGCCCCGAGCATCGCAGGCCTCGCCGCTCCTGGTGAGAGTATGCCGCTCCCACGACCACAACCTGCAAGAGGGATAATCCCTCCGAGACTTCGTTTTGAAACGGATGCGGAAACCGGGCATGTTGACAGAGGTGTGTTTGAACCAGCCTCTGTCTTTGCTTCTTCTGCGCTGGTCTCCATTAACGAGGTGCTCTTCCTTCTCTCTACGTCATCCACCGTCAACACTCCTTCATCACCCTCTTCGATGCGCGCTTCGGCACCATCATCGGTACCTCCTCCTCCCATAGGGCCTGCGGTTGGGGTTGGGACACTGTCTGCGAAACCCTTATCATCAGTCTCTCCCGCCTCCACAGTGACAAGTTCCTCTTCGAGTCCGGAGGCCTCTCCCTGGGCTTCCCTCTCGCCATCCTCCACTCCACAGAATGGAGCCCTGGACGCAATAACTTCGCTCGTCGAAAGCGACGACGTTGTCTTGCACGCGCATGGACAACAATCTTCCTTGTCGTTGTCCATGCCAAGCTTGCACCTTGATTCTGGCGGTTGCAGAACTGTCTCTTTGCAGTCACTTTCTCCTACAGCATCAGCACATTCTTCTCCGTCGATACGTTTCGGGCTTTTCTGGCCATCCTGACGCCCTTCCTCGCCATCCACATCACGCCTCTGCACTTCGCTTTCGCTCTCATTTACTGTTACAACAGATGCCATGCCATCTGCCCCACCTTTACCCGCATCGTCCAAATGCCCATGATCTTCGTCCAGGCCCATCAAAGCTTCCCTAGGGAGGTTGGCTTCGCCATCGCCGAACTCCTTCCGTGCGTCCATCCCATCCTGCTGACCAAGCACCCCCGCTCTCACAACACAGTCAGCACTTCCTCCCTCTTGCACTGCATCCAAACAGACTCCCTCACTGCATCCTGTCGCCGTTCCTCTCCCGTTTTCCTGGCCATCAAGGAAAGGGGCAGCTGCAAACTCAGTGGCACTGTCCTTGGTGTCGAATTGTTGCAGTCCTCGGGCAATGGACACTAGTGCTTCCGTAGAAGAGAGAACAGCAGACTCAGTGCCACCTCCCAGTTGCCGCAGCCTTGGCTCCTGTGATGAGAGGCAAGGTACTTCATCAGGCAGAACGCCTACAACAGCACTTCGCAACAGAGGCAGAGCATCTTGAGGACGGTTGGTTGACCCTACACGTGCTGAATTCTCATTTCTGTTCCTCTGCAGTGACAAGCCTGCTGAGCACAAGGGCGCACTCTCTGAGCTGTGTTGCACCACTTGCAGGCTTTCCATAGCCTCCTGGGCATCAGTCACTTCACTCGCCGGACTCAGAAACCCCGCCTTATTACGATCAGACCCTTCTTCCAGCCCTCTTTCCTGGTGATTTTGCTCCCTACCGTCACCCTCCTCCCGTTCTTCTCCTCGATAGCACGTTGTGTGCTCGTCGTCATTCTCCTTTGTCATCAAGTTTGCACAACGAGCATCATCTGCAATCACATCGCCCAACGCAACGCTTAGGGTGGCGCCTATCATCAAAGCCGTACCATCATCAGCCATCTCCCTCTCTCTCTTACTGCTATCTGACCCAACCGGAAGGCTTCCTTGTACATTTTCCAAAGCCATCGCCGCATCGCTAAGCTCACGGCCTTCTGGCGATCGAACCATGCCCTCTACTGCCCATCCACGGTCCTCGCAATCATTCGCGCATGCCTCTACCATAACATGGTCTGCATGAGGCTGATCGTTCAGAGAGTCGCTACCACATTCAGGGTTAAGTGCATCTCCTACACGCTGACTAGCACGCACCTCCATACAAAACTGCTCCACAGCGTAGCTGCCCTCACACTCTTCTCGGCAAACTACACCCTTTGTTCTCAAACTACCGTTGCCCCAGTCCTCCACGACCGCCTGCGAAACAGCAAGATCCCCACCAGTCTGCTTCTGATCCACCCTAGCCTGCTTCTGTTCTGCACTAGTCTGCTTCCACTCACTGCTCGACCCATTCTCTCCTGATGGAATGGGCACCTGCTCCTCACGGAGCCCACAATCAGGGATGGCAGCATCTGCATCTGACAACTTGCCCTCATCCGTTTCCGACGCGCTGCGACAAACTCGTCCATCCACGCCCAATTGCCCACCCTTAGGCACCGGCGACGACGGGGCAATGCATGCATCAGACTCAACGCCCTCAACATCAACGGGAATAGCTATCTGCTCATGACGGAAATCGTCAGAAGCGATGGTAGCACCGCCACCTGACAACTTGCCCTCGTCCCCTCTCGACACGCTGAGACAAACTTGTCCATCCATGCTGAGTTCCCCACTCCTCAGCAGCGACGATGACAGGGCAGCGTCCACGTGCGACGGAAAGCCCTCGACATTGTCAACAGGAAACCGCAATGTAGTAGATTGTGGGTCTCCTTCACACAATCCATCAGCCCGACGCACAACTTCAACCCTTGCACTCCTTGGCATTGACGACGACAGGGGGGTGCGCGCATCAGATCCAATGGCATCGCAGTCGACAGGACACTGGGAAGCAATGGGTTGAGGGTCCCCTTCACGTACCTCCACGTCCCGGCCCACAACTTCGGTCCTTGCCTCCTCGTTGTTGGTGTCCCTTGGGTCAACCGCCAAAGCATCCAGGCAGCTGCAATCGCAATCATTATGGGAACACTTCGGTGAAGCAAGAGCCGCACAAGATCCCACACGGTCGTCACTGCTCCCCACCTCTCCGCACCTGATATCCTGCCAAGCTTCATCTTCGTGCTCACAAGTCAATGGGGGGGTAATCCCACCACAGTTCACGTCTGCAGTGGGCACTCGACCGACATCGCCATCGCCGTCATCATCAGAGGAAGAGGAAGAGGAGGAGATTTTCGGATGACTTGTAAGCATCACAGGATTGTGGACACATTCGGAGTTCAGACGGCTTTCGGACATCATATGCATGTGAACGTAGTCCGAATTAAGATGATTTACTGGCAAAATACGTTCACGAACAGAGTCCGAATCTTGACCGACTGGCTTCGCTTCAGCATCAGCTACTACTGAAGCAGTGACAGAGCCTGCAGCAGCAGAAGGTACAGAACTGCAGCCATGGCAGTCGTCACTTCGAAGACTGATAAGCTGAACCTCCTCCTCTTGTTGATGCCGCTCCTCCCCCTCCTCTTGTTTTCCTCCTTTGCCAGACTCCATAGCTGCAGACATCCTCTTCCTCTTCCTCCCCTCCTTTCCGGGTGAATTCGCAGCTTTTTGTGCTGATGAACTTTCGCCAACTGCTGCTTCTCTCATCTGCGATACTACAATTCGGTCGTATGTAGCCACATCCCTTCCTATCGCCAGAAACTTCAGAAGCTCGCTAGCGAATTGCTCTGCATAATCAAAAACGAATGGCCGGGCTCCTGCTGAAATAGCGTCTCGAAGAGCACGATGCTGCTGAGCAGCGGCATCTGATTGGTCAGCTGCTAAAGACCTCTTGTGCTTCTTGTGAAGCGCTCTGGCACTGACCAAAAAAAAAAAAAAAAAAAAAAAAAAGGGGGCACATTGACACAAAAACAAAAACTTCCAAAAGTTAAAAACAAACGAAATACAGTTCAATATACGCAGTATTGAGAACTCCAATGTACATTGACAGAAAAACAAACGAAATACAGTTCAATACGCAGGATTGAGAACTCCAATCTTTTCCTTTTTTTTTCCTCCCGAAGAAGAATGAAAAATTGAAAATCATAAAGAAAATACTAAAAAGCTAGGTTACCAGAGTGGCTGGGGACCACTTGCCCGGCCGAGCCAAAAAGAACAAAAAAAAAACAAAAAAAAAAACAACAAAAAAAACAACAAAAAAAAAAGTTTGTCACAGCCTGTCGTTTGTTGTCCTCTTCTCCCTCTCTGCCTGCAGTTTACCGGGCAGCTCTCCTGTTCGAACTTCGAACCTTGAAGATATATATAATATATATCATCACATGAATATCAGAGCGCAAAGGCGAAAAAAACAGAGGAAAACGAGAAAAAAATAATTCGTTTTTTTATCTTCTTCCTTACAAGACTCCCCCTGTTCAGAACCTCTTGCGTACAAGGCCGCCCACGTGGATGTAGGTTGAGTGGCGGCTGCCCCCACCCCCGTGTGTCATATCGACCCAGTTGCACACAGCGAAAGGGCAAAGAGGCAAAGAAAATAGGAAGGGAGGGGGGAACAACCAAATACAACAAAACAGGGGGCAACAAGCAACAGCACCAAAAACAGATCCTAGATGACAAGTCCCACATGCAAGCACCGCCCCTCCTTCACAGGCCAAACGACGAGACAAGACCACCCAGGACAAAACTCTTGTCTGCAAAAAAAAAAGAGAAATCCCAGATTACATATCTATATACAGCAGATGGCCTTGTTCGCCGTCAAGACGTTGGTATCCCCATTTGTAAACCGTTCGTACTGGGACAAAAAACATAAAAGACAATCCCAGATGACGATTCCCACATAAAAGCACCGCCCAGCTCCTTCAATAGGTCGAACAACAGGAAACAACCAACTAGGATGCCAAAAAGATAAAAAAGAACCCGGATGACTAGTCCCACATGAAAGCACCGCTACACATCCCAAAATAGACCGAAAAACAGGACAAAACCAACCGGGATGCAGACAAGGTTACCAAAACAGGTAAGTTCTACCATATCCATAGTTAAGAAAAACCGGAAACATACAGTAGGTCCGCAAAACGAAATACCCCATAAATGGGGAAGAGTAAAGCGAAAAAAGAGAAATGATAACAAGAAAATTAGGAGAGTATTTGCAGGAGGTAGGGATCGATCTAGGAACCGATAAATCCAGGTACCAGTGAGAGCCACTCGGGTTTGCCAACCGGTAGGACCGGGAAGGTCGGAGTACTTTCTTGAGGATTCTGAGATGCGTAGGAGGTAGTCTTAGAACCTTTCTAGTGGCTATTAATAGTAGGATCATGAATGGATGAAACCTCCTCGCGTCGAGAGTTCGACATACGTGCCGCGTGTGTAGGGCGTACCCGTGCTTCTCGCACGCGTCGTCACGGCAGTACCTTGGAAGCGTCGTGCTTTTCTTGTTGTATCTTTTTCGGCATTTTCAAAGTACGTCGTCGCACAATCTCGACGATGTTGTTTGTGGTTTTGTCTATGTTCATAACTTGAACAATCTCGCTGCGTGTTTACTCTGTAAACACTGCACTGGCTGCATGCTTACTCTGTGAACACTGCACTGAATTCACCTACCTACAGGTCAGCACCCCGCACAAAAAAAAAAAAAAAAAAAAAAAGGGTGGGACCACCAACTGGCCTAGGTCAGTTGGTACACCTACGAAACTGCTGAAATGCGGACCTGAGTTCAAATTCCAATGGGATCTGATGAGTGAAAATAACTCTGAATTTATATGGGGCTGGTCAGCTCAAAGATGATATCTCAAGGCCATCGCCCTTTAAAAAAGGGGAAAAAACGCGGGAACACCATACGCCCGCCGTCCCCCCCTCTAACCCCCCCCCGCCACCCACCCATCAGCATCTCCATAACGCACCCCCTAACTCTCCCTCCCGTCCTCCCCCAAATCACCTTCCCCAACACAGCAGTTTCTCAGTGGACTTGGGCCGTACTCGGCAAACACAGTCACCAGTCGGCATCTCCCTCCTCTGTGTTGCATACTTCAATGAGTATGGGCAGAACCAAAGATCAACCAATGTAGGATGAGCATATATGCAGCGGAAGTCTGAT